TGTTTCTGTCATTTGTGTTGTATTTTACAAAATTATTAGCAAATTACAAAAGTGCTGTATGGGGAAAAGTACAGAAAATTATCATCTTCCTAGTGACCGTGACAAGGATAAGCAGTCAGAAGCTGTGTGGATTTCTAAGAGCAATAATTATTTTATTATTCTTGATGTTCTTATTTCCATGGACTAGGAAATAACATAATTAGTGTGAACTGGTACTATATTCTTCATAAAATCATTTAAAGATTTTAATTATATTTCATGATTTCTTTTGTTTTTGTAGCTCTGCCTATAACTCCAACAAAAGCAAAAGAAACAATATCTTCAACAGCAAAACCAGAAACAACAGTCAGGACGACGTCCCTTCAGGAGTCTGAAGAGACGAAAGCACCATTCACAGAGTATTATTGTACTTCCCACAGTACTTAACCTGCTTAAATAATAGTGTCTCCTCTTGCCTCTCAACTATATGTCGTAGATTAAAAAAATAGCGCATGTAGCAGTACTGTACTGACGTGACCTGGGGATACTTGGGACCCTAGATCACAATGAGATCACTGTGTTTCCGCAGTGGAATAGGCTGGTCTCCAACCCACACTGCTGCTGTCATCTCTGTGGGACTTCTGCTGCTGCTCATCTGCCTGTTCATAGCTACTTACATCTGGATGCTGAAACGTGAGTGTGGGGGGTGGCGGGGGGCGGGGAATCCAGTGATAAACAGACCGGATGTGTGTCACTGGCTTGCCCGTGTTAATGTGCCAAAGTCCCACCTTCAGAAGTATTCCTGCATCATCAATTGCTGTTGAAAATTGTGCTCAAGGAATCATTGTACATTGTTTTAAACCATTATACATATCACTTAATAAAAAAATATTTTCTTGAATAATTTGACAGTAGCTGTAATTGAGGAAATACAAAGCTACGCAAATCCAAATTGCAAGAGGAAGGTGACATCAAAGGGTGAAATGTCTTGGATTTCAAAATGCTTGTTCCAGTATTACCCCATAGTAAACCAGTTGGCACGTTGACATGTCAATTTGCAACATTGTGGTTTTGTGTTCCAGTTTTCAAGTGATCTAGTCCATAGTCCTTGATCCTGGTTTTCTACCAGGCCACACTCCCATCATCCTCAGCCAAGCTCGGTACTGGTCCCCCACACTCCCATCATCCTCAGTCAAGCTCGGTACTGGTCCCCCACACTCCCATCATCCTCAGCCAAGCTCGGTACTGGTCCCCCACACTCCCATCATCCTCAGCCAAGCAT